GATTATATTATTTTTACTATTTCAAATTTATTTCTTCAATTTTTTGTTTCTTATTAAAATTCTCATCAAATTAATTTTTAATTTTATATGTTTTAGTTCATAAATTTGATTTTTTATATATGGATTTTGAAATAAAATTTTAAAACTTGATTGTTTTATTTTTTAAATATATTATTATAATTTATATGATTGATTTTTTTATGATATTTAAATAAGAGTAGCATAATTGCATATATAAATTCGATGAGGGAGAGAGGTCGAAAGTATATTTTAGATAATTTTAATTAATTTTTTAAAAATAAGAATCGGTTAAAAATTAATTTGACTCGATGTTTTTTTTTTAAATTAATATATATACCAACCGGACGTGACCCTTCTTCTTTTTTTTCTTCTTATAATTTATTTTATATTTTCAAAAGTCCGGCCACCAATCTCATGATAGAACAAAAAAAAAAAAAAGTTGGCTAATTATTTTAAATCCTGATGTGTTTTAGGATTGAATCATCAATAGGTGAAAGGAAATCCTTAAAATGAATATACAAATTATCATAGCATAACTGAATCTCTAGCAAGTGATGTACAATTGATTCCTTCATCGGGAAAGAAACACATATATATTATTGGTCCCTTTAATGTCCCCGAAGCAATATTAATTATATATTTGATATTGATGTTAACATGCATATCCGATTATTTTATTATTATTATTTAAAAAAAATTTCCTCAATTATTTGTTTCTTATTAAATTTCTCTTTCAACTAATTTTTTAATTTTTTGATTTAATTTTATTTGTTAATAAATTTTCTTTTTTAATATATGAATTTTGGAATAAAATTTTAGAACGTCAATGTTTTATTTTTTTAAATATATCATTATAATTTATATAATAAATTATTTTTATATTTTTAAATAAGTGTTATACATACATGAATACACACACACACACACACAGAGACATAGACACACACACACACACACACACACACACGAGCTAAAAATAAGTTTTAAATGATTTGACTCAATTTTTTTTTAAAAAAATAACGAGTTCAAAAAATTCATAAGTTTTATTTGCTTATATATATATATATGTATTCAAAATTTATTAGAACTAATTTTGTTGTAGTTTTTATTTTAATCTATTGACTTCAATATATTTCTACGAGTTTAGGTGATTTTTTTTTCTTTTATTTATTCTATATACTTTGAATCGGTTATATATATACGTGTGTGTGTGTTTGTGTATGTATATGCATATGTATATGTGTGTGTGTCATTAGTTTCGTTGAAAATTAACTATATATAGATTCGATTTATATTAATCACCAAAACTAAAATTTTCTACTTACATTACACCATACGAATTGTTAACCCTACGTATGTAATGGTTATCTACCCGCAACATAACGCAGGTATCCAACTAGTTTACTTGCTAAAAACTTTCGTACTTTATTTCTCATCTTAATCTCTGATTATAATATTGCAATGACAGTAAAATAACGTAAGATCATAGAAAAAATCACCCAAGTAATGATATCATTTCAAAAAACTTGTATCAAATTAGCTTAAACTTCGAGTAAATTATAGATTGGTGCTTTTAAATTTGCAAAATGAATTAAATAATTTTTTAATTTTAAAAATAAATTAATTAGACATTTTTTATCCATTATTTGTGTGTGTATATATGTATATTAATTTCTTTTTTTTAAGAATAAAAAAGTAAATAAATATTACAAAAAGATTGATGATAAAAAGATATTTTTTCATAATAAATTAATATTAAATTAAATATCGCAAGCAATAATCAATGAATGAATTAATTAATTTTTAAAATAAAAAAATTATTTGATTTTTTTTGCAAAAATAGAAGAACTAATTTATAATTTACTGGCTTAAACTTGAACTCATAAGAATTATATGACTTTGAAAAAAAAACAATAATGATGGAGATATTACCTCTACCTTTTTGCACCATCGCATGAGGGAACTCCAAACCCAATTTGAAACCATAATTTGTTAATCTTTATCTTTTTTTAAAAAAAAAAATCAATGATTATCCGGTTTGCTAAATAATTTAACTAGTTTTTACTTGATTTGACTAAAAATAAAATGTTTACCTAAAATATTCTACTACCTAAATTAATATATACTTAAAAAAAGTGCATCACGAGGACTTCTCAAGAAATCGCTCATCCTAATAATACTTTCATCCAATTACATTTAACTTCGAAATTAATATGTACCTGCACCTATGTTTTATACTCTAAAAATCAACAAGATAATATAACAAATCATGATATTATTTCGAAAAAAAAGTACGAGATTATTTAGAATTCTAACGTAAAAATGTAAACTATAATGATATGAGGTACTTGTATTTACTTCATTTTTCAACTAAAAAATTCTACGATGAACTTCCTTGATTTTTTTTTTTTTAATGACTAATGATTCTTAATACTATTGAATCAAAACGTTGAAAAATAAAAACGACTTGTGGGGATACCCGCCCCACTTCCCACCTCGTGGGTAAAACCTGAACGCGACTCTGCATTTAATGAAGCGGGTTGGGCTTCAGGTTTGATTAAAAGCAAGAAGGCTCGTTGTTTTGGCAGTTGCATGGATGAATCATAGAAATATTGGGCTTCTGCAGGGCCTAGTTTCAAACGGGGTATTGGTTTTTTTGTTTGCACTCGTACCTAACTGCACCTACAAATGGATGGTCGTTGACCAAATTAAACGTCTAGAAAATAAATAAAAATAATAATTGCTTTCTCACATTCTTTCAACCTGCATAGTCGTTGTCATTACGTTACTATTATTGGTTCTGTATCCTATCCCATCTTGACGTCATCCACGTTGCTCCCTTGACCCCGCCCCACCACCATTGTTGTCTCCCAAAATGACTTCGGTGATCTACTTCTTTTTTTCCATTTTCAAGCTCAACCCAATTCATTTTGTTTTCTTTTTCGATATGTTTGTTTGGTTGATGAGAAAAACCAAATGAATGTTTGGACAAAGAAAAAATGGAAGGAAATGGATGGTTGGTTTGGGGAAATACTACCCAAAATGTTAATACAAACACAAATTTTAGCATTTAGTCCTTGATTTTGCTGGATGAGATGAGAAAATATGGACTAATTGAGACATCTCTGGTTTTGTTACTTTTCTCCTCTTTGTTTCGACAAGCTATGCCTATCAACGTCGTAAAGTGAGACTTTTACAAATTTCAACTCATGATGAACTTGTTTGCTTTGACTTTGATCGGTTAATATAATGGAAGACACGTAACTTTTTTGTCAAATAATAAAGAAATAAGAAGTTCATGAACAAAGCAACGGGGGATTTTCCGACTATGGTGGCCATAGTTTAGACTATATCTCTTCCAATTTTTTTTTTAAATAAAAATAGGCCGTAAAAAACTTGTTTCAAGATATAATAACTTTTTATTTTAAAATAAAAACTGATTATGTAAAATACATTATCTTTTTCAACTTCACCTACAATCAAAAGATGGCGACTTGTTTTACATGTAAATACAATAATATCAACAGTTCTAAATACGAATGATTTTTTGCTTTAAACTAATAATTCAATGCCTCATTATAATTTTAAATAACTGCTATTATATTAACAAATTCAAATATATCCATTAATATTATATGCTGTGGTGAGGAGTACAATGACGTTTTATATATTCTTATCGTTATTTGACATTGTTATTTGATGAATAATAGCAATTATTTTTTTTTAAATTGATTCTTTGCATTTTATTATTGTTTTGTGACATTAAACTATTAGAAGTTTTGTTCATTTTTATATAATAAATTCAATTATTATTGTATGATATTAAACTATTATAAATATTATTTTTATGTTTAATTGATAAAATTATTAAAAATATATAAATTAGAATAAATTTTTATTAATAACTAATCGTCTACTAATGCGTTCACAATATTTATTATCATGATGATTTTTTTACAATAGGGATAAAATGAAATCTATAATCATGATCGTAGTAGTTTTTATAATTACATACTTGATTGAAAAATATGGATCAGAAAATAATGTTTGTTTATTTAACGTTTCAGCCAAAAAGCTAAAATACTTTAGCTCAAAAGATGATGTTGCTTTATTTAACTTTTCAGCCAAAAACCCAAAATAAAGTTGTAGAAGAAGTTTCGTTTTGGAGTTTTTTCAGTTTCTTTATTTCCACATCACTTGCAATGGGGTGGAATTAGAACTACTTATTGCTTTAGCGTCCATTACACTGGTTAAATTTAAAAAATTTTCAATTTGATTCTTAATTTTTTTTTTTTTTGGGGTAACAGTCAAGTATTTTTCTTTCAAAATAGCAAAAATGTCATCCTCCAATTTCCTATTTCATTCTTTCTAAATATACTTCATTCTGAAATTCATCCTAATAGGTTTTTGTTTTAACTTTTAACACCACCCACCTGATGAAATCCGAATTGAATTTTTATTTCAACCAAACATTTATTTCAACTGTCATTACATTTATAAAATCTAAAAATGCTTTGATGAGTATCCATCATTTCCTATTCAATCCGTCTAAATTATACATATATATGATTTTTCTCTTTTTTTTAACGTATTGTTTTTATTTATTGAATCACTTAAATTATATTCACTCTAATGACTATTGGCGTGTGTTAACTGCTAAGTAGAAGAAATCAGTGGGATGGTTATTCATAAAATAAAAACCAAGCGAATAACACGTCACCGTTAAGACAATAACAAAAAAGAAAAGAAAAACTTAACATCACTTTACCACCTTCGCAGCACAACGTTAGATGGTAAATTTTCAGCCTCTTCCGACCGTTCTTCTCGTACCCTCTCTCTCTCTCCATGATCCAATGTCTTAAAATCCCAAACCCCAACTTCCTCACCTCGATTTCCTCTCCCTATATTCTCTCTCTTTCCTTTCAGTTATAACCAACAACAACAGTTACACAGTATCAGGTACTCCACTCTTAAAAAATATGGACCCAAACGACGACGTTTTCTTCTCCATCCACTATCGATCTCCCCGAGCAAACAACGATGATTCTTCTTCGTCTTCACCTCCGGTCCGAACACCGAAGATCTTCGACCGTTACTTTTCCTCCTCATCACCATCATCCTCCGACGACGATTTACAGCCCTCCAATTCCAATCCCTCCTTGGAAGCTTCCACTAAACGTCTCGAGTACATGATACAGTTCCTCGACCGCAAACTCTCCAACAACAACGACAGTAATCCCATAAACAACAACGACAATGTTTCCCACAGGCACAAAACCTCCGGCTTACCAGAATTTATTAGCGAAGGAGGAGGAACCGGAATTTTCCGTGTCCCAGTTCGAGCTGCGGTTCACCCAGACCGTCCACCGAGTCTCGAAATTCGGCCACATCCGTTGAGAGAATCTCAAATTGGTCGGTTTTTGAGAACGATTGTAACTACCGAGAATCAACTATGGGGTGGGAGAGAAAACGGTGCCGTTCAGGTCTGTGAATTGAAGGAAATCTACGGTGGAAGTGATGGAACGGCCCCGTTTAAGGAGTCTGTGGCGTTGAATTCGGGTTCTGGTGTTACATGTTTGGTTGGTGATGACGGGGGTCGAGTTGTTTGGAGTGGACATAGAGATGGCAGAATTCGGTGTTGGAAAATGGATCCAGGTCCGGGTTCGGATCCATGTCGGGTCAAGGAGGTTTTGTCTTGGGTGGCACATCGCGGGACGGTCATGTCCATGATCATGACTTCTTATGGTCAGTTCTCACTGTTTTAGAATTATGAATTAATTTCTTGTGCATTGTTGTGTTTTGATTGAATTTCCTTGTGTTTTGGTTTTAGGGGATTTGTGGTCGGGATCGGAGGGGGAGTTATTAAGATATGGCCATGGGAAGCGCTGGAAAAGGCCTTTTCCTTTACGGCGGAAGAGAGGCACATGGCTGCATTGTTTGTAGAGAGGTCATATATTGATCTAAGGAACCAAGTGGCTGTGAATGGATTCAGCAATGTGTTGAATTCCGATGTTAAATACTTGCTTTCGGATAATTCTAGGGCTAAAGTCTGGAGTGCTGGGTTCTTGTCGTTCGCATTGTGGTATGTGTTCATTTGTGATTATCTGACTTTTGAGTTGGACGATAGCACTATGCTTTTATTCCTTGCTTGATAAGTAGCTAGAAGTACCTAACTCTGCTTTTATAAGTTCCTTCTTTCCCATTTTTCTCATGGTAGTTTAGAAATTTCTCTACAATACATAAGAGACAAGAGATAATATATAAATTTTGACTTTATCTATATTTTTATTTGCAATATTTTTTGTTTGAAAATCTTTTCTATTCTTATCTGATCTGTTCTTTTTTCTTTTTCTTTTATATATATGGTTTTTAAATTGGAGAATATGATTTGAAATTGGTCTTAGAAGTTCTAGTCAAATACATAATTTCTGAAAAAATGGAACGTGGTTCGACACTCACACACCAGCGAAATATTAGCATTTGGTAAAAAAAAAAAAAAAAAGAGGCAAAAAATACAATAATTCTGCTATACATCATGATTTGATCAATGGTTATCTTGATATGGAGCAAATTATAATGTTACCTTGAATTTTTTTCGTCGTTTGTGGGATTCACAAGAAACTCATGGATCCTCAGGGCTTGTGCATTGTTTCATGGCCACCTAGTAACGATTGGAACTTCGTCAAGCATCCAATATCTTGTCCTCTTTGTTCATGTTGGCTTTATGCAGTGTGAATGGAGAATGGCCTTGAGAGTAGCCAAATAGCCAAATAGAATACGATCTTTCGGGGCTTAAGTATTTTCTTATTATATTTCATCCTTTTGCTTGAGGTATATCTTATAATATGAGCAGAGGATAGTATGTGTTATAACCGCGTAAATTTGTGGAGTTCAAAGCCATGTCAGGTATGAAGATGGCAGGTGATAAACACTGAGAATCCTCAAGAGAAACACGCCTTAGAGAATGAACTTAGAACAGCAAGCTAGAGAAACCGAAAATGACCCTTAAGTTGGGAAACTGTGATCATAGGAAATCTGAGGTGTTTCTACCAATGAGAGAATTCAGAGAGTAAACTTAAATGAAGTCAGACTTTCTTAGTTATCTGTAAAGACAGAGCTAGTATGAAGGGTTCCTTTTTTCCATCGTAGCCGGGACCTTGGTCAAGCTACCAGATTGAAATCCTCTCAGTCCTGAAAGAATACTTTCTCCTTGGATCCTTCTTACTATCTGGTGTGGGATGTTGCATTTAGCTATTTGGTCATAGACGGTTAACTCGAATGGTTCTCTGTTATCAAACTGGAATTGCCATATCTACTTCCTGATGTGGGCAATGCTTGTCTTCATTAGATTCCTAACTAATGATTCTTCAATCTTACCTTTGCATATAACATTTTCAGTTCTATGGTGTTTGCATTCTTTTGTGAACAGAAGCAACAAATCAATTTACTTTAACAACTCAACTAAACTTCAACACCAAATAAGTGACTAATTGCAGTAATTGCTAGGTGTTGAGAATAGGATACCATGCAAGGGAGACATGGGGTCTTCTCAGTCAAGGCAGCCAAAAAGGCAGAAGAGGCATAACAGATGTATTATTTTGACTCTTTTCTCACGATTCTAATTCCTGATTTAGTAGGACACGTGACTAAATTATGGAGATTCGTTTATCTAATTTATTACTAATATTTTTTTTGTTATTTTTATGATATTGTTATCTAGGAAAATAGTCGTACATCGCTAAATTCCTGGAAGCTGTAGAGCTGATGGGTTCACCCAGTCTTCATTTTGTTTTGGGGATCTTTTCTTTTTAGTTACTGTGGCTAGCATAGAGTTAGTTGGATACTGGGACCTATGTTGTTTTCTTTCTTTGTTTATTTGTTTTTGGGTTGGTGAGGAATTCAATATTTTATTTTCATTACGATTTCTTAGATTTTACTAATTAAGGTTGAATTATGGGGAGACATCTATTTTTTACAGGGATGCTCGCACGAGGGAGTTGCTGAAAATGTTCAATATAGATGGTCAGATTGAAAGACTGGACATGTCATCAGGACAGGACCTTACCTTTGAAGATGAGATCAAGATGAAAACTGTTGCTGGGTCAAAGAAAGAGAAAATGCAAACTTCATTTGGTTTCTTTCAGCGTTCACGTAATGTTATAATGGGAGCAGCTGATGCTGTCCGCCGAGTTGCTGCAAAGGGTGGCTTTGGAGATGATAATAGGAGAACTGAAGCGCTAATTATAACGACAGATGGAATGATTTGGACTGGGTGTGCAAATGGCTCACTTGTGCAGTGGGATGGCTACGGGAATCGTTTGCAAGATTTCCAGCATCATTCTGTTGCTGTTCAGTGCTTGTGTACATTTGGTTTGCGAATATGGGTCGGTTATGCAAGTGGTGTTGTTCAGGTATTAGACCTTGAGGGTAATCTGCTTGGAGGATGGGTGGCTCACAGCAGTCCAGTAATAAAATTGGCTGTTGGGGCCGGCTATGTTTTCACCCTGGCTAATCACGGTGGTATACGTGGATGGAATGCCATGTCTCCAGGACCCCTTGATGGCATATTGCGTTTGGAGTTAGCTGGAAAAGAATTTTTGTATACAAAAATAGAGAATTTAAAAATATTGACTGGTACATGGAATGTAGCGCAAGGAAGAGCTTCACGGGACTCACTTGTGTCCTGGTTAGGCTCCACTGCCGGGGACATTGGCATTGTTGTTGTTGGGTTGCAAGAAGTTGAAATGGGTGCTGGTGTGCTTGCAATGTCTGCAGCAAAAGAAACTGTAAGACATCTCTATTATTGAACTTGGCAAGTATGTTCTTAAGCTTTTTTGTTTGCATGGCCCCCAAAAGTTTTTTTTTCCCTTGTGGAACTGAAGAGACTTTCTCTCTCCTAATCAATTTGCAGAAATGACAATGCTAACTGTACTAGCTTGCTCAAGAAGTTTTTTTAGCTTTTTTTCTACTTCAAGATATAGGAAACAGCTGTTACTAGTGATATGCTGATGGTTTTACTTTGAAGGTGTTTTTATGAGTTGAAGATCTTTTAAAAGGTGAATAAGTTTAGTCTAAGCATTAACACTGGGTGGAAACTATGGAAAGAACATGATGGAATGAATAAAATGAATTAATGATGGTTGGGGAATGAATGAAATGCATAAGACTGGATTTTCTCTGGGAACTTGATCTAGAGAGGGTAATGTGGGGAGATTCTGTGCTAGGCAGACATTACAATGAAAGTTGTGTAAAATCTTTTTGATATATTGGTTTTAAATGACCTTTTCCTAAAAGGTGGGGATAAAAAGAAGAAGAAGAAAAAAGTCAAGGATAACTGGAATGGAAGCAATGCTGTTAAACATCTTGCATCAGCATTCTCTTTTATGATTGTGCTTATATTGTAGTTGTCTTTGTTCTTCTTCTCTCACCAGTTTTGCTGTCTTGTGCTATTTGGGTTTTCTTTTCTTTTCAACTGCAGGTTGGACTGGAGGGCAGTTCGGTTGGGCAGTGGTGGCTGGATATGATTGGCAAAACATTGGATGAAGGGTCGACATTTGAACGTGTTGGTTCTAGGCAGCTAGCAGGCTTGCTGATTGCCATGTGGTCAGTATCTATGGACTATGATAGGAATGCGAAGTTAGGCCTATATTGTTTATCATTAATGGGTGTTTGTATGGCTGGATAAAATTGAACAATTTTATTGTTTATGAATCATGTTTCAAGTGAGTGCAATATGTTAGATTGTCATGTCTGCATGTATAAAAGAAATGTGCTTGCTAGAAGACCAGCATTTTAAGATTGGAATATCAGTCTTTAACATTTTTCTATTTTATGTTTACCCTTTTATTTCTTTGGGTGCGGCAAGGAGTCTCTACAGTGAGGCTGCTTAACTTGGTTCTGAAACGGAATCCTCACAATAGCCTGATTCAATTTGCATATGCAGCCAACTTTCCTGTAATTTTACGTGACAGTTCTGGCTTAGGCATATGCAACTTTCTCTTAAATCTCATTTGTCTCAGCCCTTGATGGCTTTCTTGGTTCTGATATATTAATAATTATATGACAGGGTTCGAAATAATCTTAAAGCTCATGTTGGGGATGTTGATGCTGCTGCAGTTCCGTGTGGCTTTGGGCGTGCAATTGGTAATAAGGTATGCCTTCCCATGTCTTGCTTTCTACAGGCTCTGCCCTTGCATTATTTTCAGGAATTGTGTTTGTCTTTGCCTGCTAACAGTTACTGTTTTAACGGGGAAAAAAATCTTTATTACTCACTCAATAATTCAAATTCTTGGATTCAAGTTGTAACTACCTCACCAACCTATTTTTACACCACTTAGCTACTGGTCAGTGTGCCTTATCTAACTATTATGTTGACTGTGCAGGGTGCTGTTGCTTTGAGGGTTAGGGTATATGATCGGGTAATGTGCTTTGTTAATTGCCACTTTGCAGCACATTTAGAAGCAGTTAATCGTCGCAATGCTGATTTTGACCATGTATATCGGACAATGACTTTTGGCCGACCATCTAACTTCTTCAATGCTGCAAACGGTATGGTGTCATACCTGTTCTTGTCTTGCTCGATTGCCTGCTATTTGTTTTGGCTTGTTTATAGAACTGGCTTGCCGTTGGTCCTGTCTATTGCAGCTGGCACTTCATCTGCAGTCCAAATGCTTCGTGGTGCAAATGTAAGCATATACATATAGTGACGAGCAGCTATGTTGTGTTTAAATTGTTTTTTACATGATTCATTTATATTTACGCGGCATGATTAAGCATCAATGCATGTTCAGGTAATGGGTGCTAACTCTCCAGAAGGAATACCCGAGTTATCAGAGGCAGACATGGTCATATTTCTCGGCGATTTTAATTATCGGCTTGATGGTATATCTTATGATGAAGCAAGGGATTTTGTATCTCAGAGAAGCTTTGATTGGCTTAGAGAAAAGGACCAACTCCGAGCAGAAATGGGAGCTGGAAATGCCTTCCAAGGAATGCGTGAAGCAGTTATTAGATTTCCTCCCACATACAAGTTTGAAAAGCACCAACCTGGTTTAGCAGGTACATTTACTGTAAAATATGACAATTTCTGGGTCAACTGGCTTGGGTTATTTAGTTGGGAATTGGTTGCTAGTTGTCTTTTGGGTGCTTTGTCGAGTATATGATTGGGTCAGGTAACAGTGATCAATAAATCAGATTGGTGACTGTACTCTTTATGAAAAACCTCACCTCACCAAGACAGAGAGAGGGAGATGGGTGGGGGGTTGCTGGCAATGGGCCATCTTTTTCCAGCTTTTATGTTGTTATGGATGCTCAGAAGTTTAAGAACTCTTTTAACTTCTGTAACTGTTTGCAGGGTATGATTCAGGTGAAAAGAAGCGCATCCCTGCCTGGTGTGACAGGGTACTATATCGTGATAGCCGGTCGGCTCATTCAGCTCATGTATCTGAATGCAGCTTAGACTGTCCTGTTGTTTCTTTGATATCACAGTAAGTTTCCTCAGTAAGATTTTCTGGCATGCTAGGGAATAAAGATACCCGTGAAAGATATATTTGCTTTAATTAACTAAGACTCATCTATTGCCTTGACAATGGCTGCATTTGCATGAGCATCAGTCTGTCGATCCACACTTGCCCAGATTATAACAACACTTAAGTGAAAAGTATGCATCCACCCACACATATATCTATAACTAGCTGGCTATTGTATAGGTATGATGCCTGCATGGATGTCACCGACAGTGATCACAAGCCTGTTCGCTGCATATTCAGTGTTGATATTGCACGAGTTGATGAGTCAGTGAGGAGACAAGAGTTTGGAGACATTATGAAATCAAATGAGGAAATTAGATTCATAATTGATGAACTATGCAAGATTCCAGAAACTATTGTCAGTACGAACAACATAATCCTTCAAAATCAGGATACAACCATTTTGCGTATCACAAATAAATGTGGGGAAAATGATGCTTTGTTCGAAGTTATTTGTGAAGGCCAGTCAATAATTGATGAGGATGGACAAGCATCAGATCATCATCCAAGAGGTTCCTATGGCTTTCCCCAATGGCTTGAAGTAAGTTCCCTGCTTCACGGAGAAATAAAACTACTAAACGTTAATCATTCCTTTTTACCCGCTTGGACCATTTTGCTGGATATCAGATCATATTTATCTTGATTTTTCAAAAAGAATTGGAAGATATAAAAATGTCCAATTCTTTTATCATCATCATCATCAACAACAAAGCCTTAATCCAAACTAGTTGGAGTTGGTTGTATGGATGGATGCTTTTGCTCCATTCCATGCTATCATAAACCAAATCTGCCTATGCAGCTCAAGAGATGAACTTCGTTCTCTTCAACATTGAATGAGTCTAATTTGTTTATATGGATTGGTTATAAAACTTTGGCAGTGAAAATAGGAGGTATTATGGTAAAAGAAAAAATCCAATATCTTGCTCACACAACACTGATGACCATTCATTTTCGCATGATAAGCACACCCTTAAACATATTGTAGGTGATTAAGTGTACCACTCTGTGCATTTCACAATTTGTGCAACTTGAACCAGGTCACTCCAGCAGCTGGCATAATTAAACCAGACCATATTGCTGAAGTGTCAATTCATCTTGAAGATTTCCCCACCGTGGAAGTTTTTGTTGATGGCGCCCCTCGAAATTCATGGTGTGAAGACACCAGGGACAAGGAAGCTATATTGGTGGTGAAAGTCCGTGGTGCTTACAACACAAATGAGACCAGAAATCATCGGATTCGTGTGCGCCACTGCTGTTCATCGCAAACAGCACAACTTGATCCCAAACTGAATGGCCCGGGGCAAATCAAAGGAAATCTTCTCCACCGAGCTGATTACCAACATCTTAGCAGTTCATATGATGTGGTCAACCACCTGCGCAATTTGCATAGTCCATAAACGGAAATCATTCTGAATGGCAAAGCAGTCCACAATTTATTCTCCCTTCTCCATTTTTACAATCGTCTCCATGTAAATAACACAAGCCTTTTTGCCTTCATTGCTTTTACAAGTTGAGCATTTGTAAATAGTTTTTTCATTCAGTTTGATCCAATGCCAATTATTTGTACGTCATCAGGTTTTTGAGGCGAGTTTGAATACAAGAAGTAATTTTTTGGGACTGGCTGTCAATTTATAACTGTACAGAAAGGCGAATACATGAAGCAGATTCCCCCTCTTTTTCAGTCCCAGTGTTTGTTTTTCTATGCCTTCTTTTCATGACTTTTTTTGAGTGCCGCTGTCGGGTAGCTGACACGGAATACATAAATGAACATACATACCCTTTTAAAACTTGCACCACCATTATCCAGTAACGCTCAGCCCTATTCATCCCTATAGATTTTTAAAGCTCAGCTCTCGCATCAATGAATAACAACTTGAGCAATTCTCTCTTTATTACTAGTATCATTTTTTCCCATGATATGATTGTATAGCTTCCATTTCTGCCAAGTGCCATTGTCACTGCCAACCATGGTTCTCTTGATGCGGCTCAACTAATCCACCTCCGCAGCATTCCTTGGCTGTTACTATTCAGTTAACTTTAAGATGGTTTTGGCTTTCAAGAGCACTAAAAGCATGTTGTATTATTTTTTTTGTTTCCAATACACTTCGCTGGGTTATTATGTCCACTGTTTACTACCTCTGCTCAGGCCACAAGTAATTGGCTTCTTACTTTTTTTTGATATTTTTGAGACTTTTAGTCGACCCGAGTATTATGGTTAACCTGATAATTAAGAATTCCTCAATACTGAGGAAGGGGACATGAAATAATTTTATTTGCATTTAACTTGACAGTTGATCATAAATTTCCCAAAATTGGATACTGGGAGGAAGAAGATCTCAGCCAATCTACAGTATCACATAAAGAATAGAGTTGATGCCATCCATGGCAAACCACACATATATGCATACCCAATCGCCTGCACCATGGCATAACCTTATCTTAACCGCTTAATTACAGTAATTTGAAAGTCTAAATAACATTGCAACAAAGTTCGTAAGCATATATATTGGATGAGATCGTCCAACTCATCCATATCTATGATCGAAGGCTTCCTTTAGCTCTTCCTTGCTGAGACGACTGTCCTTATTGATTTTGAACTCCATGAAAATTGCCTTTTTGACTACTCTTCAGTTAGTTGCGAAAAACTGATGCAGGGTGATTTAGGTTTCTTGGTTGAAAAGCGCATGTTCCCAAGAGACAACAGAAGATTAGCTTAATTTGTATGTGTATAAGATGTTTTCACGCCAAGATTTTTGCAAGTATATTGAAAGCAAGTTTTATATAGATCTCTTGATAAATTAATTCAATTGTGTTCATGTGCATCTTTCATATATAATAATTATATCAATTTATCTCCATGCATGAAAAGATTTAAGAAAATTCGATCCACTTTAGACAAATCAGCTTTAGGCATATGTTCTCACCTTGCACACACATATATATCCTTTCATTTTGTTTTAGCATTCCTCCAATTCCAAATTCCTGTTCATCTTTAATCATTTTAAAGCGAACTAACATTAAAAAAAATGTAGCTTTAAAATATATACTTAATAATTAAATATAGTGCAGTACACCACAATAATGGAAGCGCAAGCCAATGCCTCAAAGCTTATAATTCAATTTGCTCGTTTTTCTGAAAAATAAAAGCCCCAAATCAAAAGCTGAAAAAAACCAGAAGTTAATTAGGATCACATTACCAAAGAGGAAACAACAATGAAGGCGGAGGTGCGGCATGAATTGATTGTTATGCTCCAATTCAAGCCTTTCACACTAACAAATCAGAAAGGATAAATATTAGATTATCTTCTATTGCTTCAGAAACCGACTCTCTCATATAATAATAATAAAATTAAACAGGATGCATGTGAATGATATCACAACGATTTCCTACCTCAACTTGGTTTCTGCCTCTGAAAATCACATCATAGGAAAATGTGCTTGTTTAATAACGTGATTGGCAAAACAAATTAAGCTATATATATATAGATATAGGTTTTTAATTTGGGTCTAAAAAAGCCCTAGAATGATTCTAAAGCTTCCAAAGCATCCACCACAATTTAAATATTATATAGAAGATTCTGAAAAATGAATTTATATTCTAATTCAAGACTTGTCATAAGTACATTGTATTTGCAAGTATCTTCTCTGTGCTTACATGGAGTGGCATTTAACTGGAGAACGGAGAAAATCATGTGATCCAACTCTCACCGATTTGGGTCGGAACTTCGCAAATGCAGCGACCACAATTCAGTATCTAAAAATCAGCAGCACTCTCCTTCCGTCACTCTAGCCACTAGACGCCGTCACCGCCACTTCCTCCGCGAATTTTTGGTAAGTTTCTCCATTTCTCTCTCTCCCCTGTTCAGTTGTTAGTAAAAAATTGGTACATCTGAATTGAAAGAAATAGATGATGCATGACCGATGGGCTTGGGGTGTTATTCTTGCCAAAAATAAAATAAAATAAAATAAAAACAAAGATTAAAAAAATAAATAGATAAAATGGCCGGGCCTCAGGTTCAAATTATAAATTATAATAAAAGAAAGAAGAGAAAGGCCAATCTCTTCTTCGCAAAAAGCACAAAACTCCCCTCCAATTTATTAATCCCAATCCATATGTTTTTATGGATTCATAAAAATAATCTTCTTCGGTGACTTTATATGGGATTATGTTTTCTATTATAAAACAAACATAATCAGCTTAGAAAAATAAATAGAATAATCCTTTTCGTATACATATCTTTTAAATACAAAATTATTTTTTATATATAATCTAAACATAAATATTTTCATATAAAATATATATATATATATATATCTACAAGCATTAATATAGTATATTATGAGAAACAAGGACAAAAATAAAAATTATAAGTTAATTATATAATTTATTTTTGACATGTAAGGTGTATTTAAGGTTATAAATAGAATGACAAGAAGAGTCTACCTGATTAATTATGTAAGGGATTGATTCTCACTTTCACAAAAGTTTCTTTCTTACATTTGCATGGCAACGGACAGGAATTGCTGGCAGGCTCAAATGATCCGACCTTTAAAATCGAAAAGTTAAACGTGATTGGCACTTACTTTGCATAAAAAGTGATAGACTTATTCTCAATTGAGGGGAATGTTAGCACAAGGGAGAAATTATTACATAGACTTGATTCATCACCTAAGAACATGGATCACACTAATAGAATTTGACTAAAAAAAGTCTTAACTATCTCTAAACTTTAAGTTATTTGTGATTAGTCTATGATTTTTTAAATGGTTTTAAGAATTCTTAGACTTTTAATTTTTAAAATTTAGTCAATTCAATAATTTTCAACTATCATCGTCCCCTCTAAAAAAGTTATTATTATTATTATTTTTTTGTATTTTAAGTTGAAAATTTGCACACATGTTGAAAAAAATTCAATCAATTTTATAAAAAAATAAAAACTATATTTGTTTATTTTTTGAACATTAAAAATAAAAAAAAATTGAAAACAACCCCGAAATGATTTTAAATTTTTTAAGGAGTTCCACATAAATCTCATTAAATAATTTTCATCGTGAAAACTATTTATTTGATTGTTATTTTTTAAGACAAATGACAAAAAAAAAAAAAACTGAAAGATAGATAAATTTGAAAAAATTAAAAATTTAGGAATCTCCAAAATCAATAAAAAAGTTCAAGAATTCAACCTCAAATGACTTGAAGTTCAGGAGGAGTGGTTAGACCTTTTTAATCCTAGAATTTTTATACATCACTCAATTTATCCACATATGTTATTAAATATTAAATCATTCATATTTTAATTGTGATTTACTAATATATGATTTGGGAAATTTTAATTATTAAAAGAAAAAAACGATTTTGCAACCCTGTGTTTGTATTAAATTGGAAAAAGAAATTCTGTGTAAAAAATTTAGCAAATTCAAATTCATGTTCGTTATATTTAGATAATTCGATTCAATTGTTATTAATTGTTAATGAACATCCAAAAACTTGTTTTTGTGCTTTTTTTATTTTTATTCACACATTCAAATCTTTTAACAGAATTATTATGTTAGAATTTGAATCTATTATCTCTTATTTTTATGCTCAGGGTGGAGTCAATAAAATATATCAAGATCAATGGATTGACGTCAATAGGCAGCCAAATGTTCCACACTGTAATTAATGAGCGCCAAGATGTGCAAGTTTTCGAGGCATCAAAGTGATTGCCCAAACACAGGTGGTATCCATGTGCAAGGATAAAAAAGATGTGGTGATCCTGAATTCTTCAATCAAAACAGGGGATGATTGCATCTTAATCGGTCTGGTACTTCGAACTTGTGGATCGACGGGATCAACTGTGGCTCTGGTGTGAGATCTAATCTAATTAGACCCTGTAATCCACTTGAATTTTCTCAGTAAAGTATGGGTATTTTGTTTTTCAGTATTTGAAGCTTAGCCAGGATCACGCAAGAACCAGGGGTTCTTAATGTGACCGTCAAGAGTACAATTTTTACTGGTACTGCAAATGGGTTCAGAACAAAGTCATGGGCCAGACCCAGCATTGAATTAACAAATGAATGACCCGGATAAGTTAGAAGAATGAGTGAGATCATTAGCCCATGAAACCACTGAAAAACCATTTAAAAAATAATCTCTCTTCTAAATACTTTGCCTGTATCGTGGATAGTTGGCTTTCATCATCTACATGGTTATTTGTAATTTCTTTTACATGAGAAATAGAGTGTTTTTCTGTAATTAATAATATCTCTTCCTTTCTATTTAGAGAAAAACTAGATTTTTTGCCTATGCTACGCTACGGATAGAATAAAATATATCAAATCATTTTAATTTAATAGTCTATTTCATGGTCTGAATGTATAAAAATATATGAAATCAAAAGCGAAAAAAATATTTTAA